CAGACTTGTGGCTGACCATTTGCGTATTACAGTCGCACCTTGGAAGTCGAATGGAATCTGTTCTGGAAGTCCATTTGACTTCCAAAATGTTTGTAAACCAAATCACGGCTTCTGATTGGCTGCAGGAAGCTCCTGCAGCCAATCAGAAGCCACAGAAGCCCTGTTGGATGTTCGGGTTCCAAAAGAACATTTGCAAACTGGAACAATCTCTTTCGGGTTTGCAGCGTTCGGGAGCCAAAACGTCCGAGTTCCAGGGCATTCGACAACCAAGGTATGACTGTACTCAGTTTCTCATCCATGGACCCCAAACCACAGGAGCTTAAGGTATCTACTCTATGATTAGTAGGGTTGTAAACAAGTATTTTGCAACATTACCACCTCTCTTCCAATGTCACTTTCAGTACGTATTTGTAGCAATCCATATCTAATAATCAAGTACAATCCACAAAGCAGAACAAGCACGACCGCCGGCACCTCATGGGACAAGAATCGTAGTTGTCCAGTCACAGGAGTCTGAATGCTGGAAAGCAAAGATTTCCTGGAAATGAGACATTTTCTGCATTTACAACACCTGGGAAATATGGCTGCGTGCTGTGATCCTAAACATGTTTACTCAGACATTTGTTCCGTTGTGTCAGTGATGAAGTTAGGTCATTTTAGACTCTGGACTCTGTCCTTAATGCTCTTGCTCCTCCGAAGGATGCATTACTTCAAAATGTGGAAAGCGAGCCCTGATGTGCTAGGAGACCCTCTGTAGTTTCTGCCATAAACTCCAGCCGTCATTGGCACGACTGCATTGCGTCCAACAGGAATTTATCCTGTAAGTGTACTTAAGGACTGCTCCTAAGTGTGACCTGCTTATTCAGTGGCTCTTGCTATGTACCTATTGAACTCACGGTGGGGATTATTCTTGAATTTCTGGCTCAAATTTCAACACAGACCACTGTTTACCCAACAGTCTTGGTGCTTCTAGCTTAGCAAACAGAGCTAGGGCAATATTGTGGCCAGGACATACAGCAATGTCATATAATCTTCCTTCCCAGAAGGTCTCGTTGAACTGAAAACTAAGCTTGTTCTTTCACATAAAAGTGATTAAATTTCTCTTATCTCCCCCCCTCCCTCCGCTTGAAGGTACATATTGATCCCTACCCTGACCCTAGCATAAATTTAAAGGAACATCCTACTGATCTTGCTGGGACCAGATAAGTTCTCCGTTATCTTCCCAAGCTGAGACGAAAACGCAAGACTGTGATAGTATTGCTAAATTAAGGCCTGTATGCAAAGTGCCAATTAGATGTAAGTTTAATGACTCTGTAGAAAGGAAGCCCTCTTCTTTCTGCCCCTTATCAAATGGGGGTTTCACTTCAAAAACACAGTATGGCTGACTTAGAACTTAAATCTAGACCTTAATCTCTTCCGAAATTAGCATTTGGGGGTGGTCACATGTACGCTTCTGAAATTGCAGACCCAGAATTTTTTGAGCAGCTAACACAACTGCTTTGGCAGAACAGATTAGGTATAACAAGGCAACCCTAATAGATAGTCTTTAAAGAAACATTTCCCTCTGGTTGGAAACAAATTATGCCAGCTCTGGGGTAGTGTACATTTCTGCTGGATTTGAGGGCACACAAGTGAACTAGGAAGGCATTCAGCCATATGAACCCAAACTTTTCTGTGGTTGTCCCTGATACATCCCCATACTACCCCCTTATTGGCCCCGCAGTTATCAAGGATGGAGATCTATTTCTCAGAGGAGGAGGTTCAATGTCTCCTATGGCCCCGGGGCACCTTCCAAGGAATATAACAAGGTGGGAAACTGGTTTAAGTTCCCCTTTTCCAGTGAACATAGAAAGGTGTTCTTGGGAAAGGTGGAGGTAGAGATCTCAAAAAGACACTTCTCAACAACCTCTGTAGACTTCAATCCCTGGGATTCCTAGGTAAAGCAGGTTAATTGGTATAAACTATATATATATGTTGTTGTTTAGTCGTGTCCGACTCTTCGTGACCCCATGGACCACAGCACGCCAGGCACACTGTCTTCCACTGCCTCCCGCAGTTTGGTCAAACTCATGCTGGTAGCTTCGAGAACACTGTCCAACCATCTCGTCCTCTGTCGTCCCCTTCTCCTTGTGCCCTCCATCTTTCCCAACATCAGGGTCTTTTCCAGGGAGTCTTCTCTTCTCATGAGGTGGCCAAAGTATTAGAGCCTCAGCTTCAGGATCTGTCCTTCCAGTGAGCACTCAGGGCTGATTTCCTTCAGAATGGAAAGGTTTGATCTTCTTGCAGTCCATGGGACTCTCAAGAGTCTCCCCCAGCACCATAATTCAAAAGCATCAATTCTTTGGTGATCAGCCTTCTTTATGGTCCAGCTCTCACTTCCATACATCACTACTGGGAAAACCATAGCTTTGACTATAAGGACCTTTGTCGGGAAGGTGATGTCTCTGCTTTTTAAGATGCTGTCTTGGTTTGTCATCACTCTCCTCCCAAGAAGCAGGAGTCTTTTAATTTCATGACTGCTGTCACCATCTGCAGTAATCATGGAGCCCAAGAAAGTAAATATAGTTTATACCAATTGACCTGCTTTACCTAGGAATCCATAGTAGATGGATAATAGATATGGAGGTATATATATTAAAATATTAACAATATATAATCATTTCAACGTAGTAAAAGTTTGAGAGAACCAGTATGGAGTTCAAATTGTGAGCATTCCATTTTCTGCCATTAGATTCATTCAGAAATAAGTTGAGCTATTTCCCCCCAAATAGATAAAAAAATCTTATTTCCAAGTCGATTCAATTTGAAATTAAACCCGCTCCAATGAGCCCCGGTCCTCTCCCCATCCTTCTCACTTATTGAACAGGTGTGTCAAGAGTGGCAAGCTATGGCAAGTGGAGCAAGGAAGACTGGTATCTCTCTCCTGCCCTTTCCGGCAGAATTGAGCAGGTCATTGGGTGTGGGAGATGGGGGGCACACCTCAGTAGCCAGTAAAACGTTGGGGAAAATGACCAAAGAAGTTGGTGAAGGAAAGGTGGCGACGGGAATATCAGTGCATACCTGACCCAAACTGTGAGAAGAAACAAATAATGTACTTAATTTGTGCATTGCAGAACACCTTTCATTACCAGGGCACTTAAGTTAAAGGTTTATCTTATTATCATCTTTTTTATTACTTTAGTCCAATCAATAAACTGCTGGCACGGCATTTTTCATCTCTAATATCTCCAGTTTGATATCACCATTGTCGTCACAATGGCGTCAAAACATCTGCTAGCGTTTATTATGGCAATTTCTACGACCAATCTTGTTTCCGTTTCACATGTCAGTTTGCCCTTAAAAGACTCAGCAGCCTCACACTTGCATTTTGTATATTTTCAGTGGAAACAATATTTGATAATAAAATGCAAGATGCCACGTGGGAGCATAACAGGCACAATAAAATGGAAGCTTAGTTGGCTGTTTTAATGGTCAGGTCCTCATCTGTGCTCTTACTAGAGGTTACCATGGTTCACTTGTGGTCATTCCCAACTGTATACTAGTTCATACGTTGGAGGCAAAGGCAACAAGCACAATAATAATAGAATTGCACCTTGCCGACAAAGGTCCATATAGTTAAAGCTATGGTTTTCCCAGTAGTGATGTATGGAAGTGAGAGCTGGACCATAAAGAAGGCTGATTGCCGAAGAATTGATGCTTTTGAATTGTGGTGCTGGAGGAGACTCTTGAGAGTCCCATGGACTGCAAGAAGATCAAACCTCTCCATTCTGAAGGATATCAGCCCTGAGTGCTCACTGGAAGGGCAGATCCTGAAGCTGAGGCTCCAATACTTGGGCCACCTCATGTGAAGAGAAGACTCCCTGGAAAAGAACCTGATGTTGGGAAAGATGGAGGGCACAAGGAGAAGGGGACGACAGAGGACGAGATGGTTGGACAGTGTTCTCGAAGCTACCAGCATGTGTTTGACCAAACTGCGGGAGGCAGTGGAAGACAGGAGTGCCTGGCATGCTCTGGTCCATGGGGTCACAATGAGTCGGACACGACTAAACGACTAAACAACAAGGAATCCTGAGGAGTCCAACCTTCTGCAATGCAGGAATATGAAGCCGTCCCAAAGGGAGATTGAACCTGCAACATTGGCATTCACAGCACCATGCTCTAACCAACTGAGCTATCCAGATTCGTAAACCACTTCACAGCCAGAAGCCACTTAAGCTGTATACAGCAATATTGTGTATTAATGAAATTAATGTGTAGATTTAATTTGTGCTTTAGAAAAGTTTCAATGTGTTGCCCATAAATTATCTTCATAATTGTTAAAACAACTCTATATGGTACAGCAATATCAGAAGCAGCTTTTCTAAGCTCAGATACCTCTTCAGTGCTGAAATACCAGTGGGCTTGACATACATACATACATACATACATACATACGTGTGTGTGTGTTTATGTGTGTATGTATACACACACACACACACACACACACACACAGAGAGTGGTACCTCGGGTTAAGTACTTAATTTGTTCCGGAGGTCCGTTCTTAACCTGAAACTGTTCTTAACCTGAAGACCACTTTAGCTAATGGGGCTTCCTGCTGCCGCCGCGCCACCGGAAAATGATTTCTGTTCTCATCCTGAAGCAATAATAACAATAACAATAACAATAACAACAACAACAACAATAATAATAATAAATTTTATTTATATCCTGCCCTCCCCAGCCAAAGCCGGGCTCAGGGCGGCTAACAACAATAAAATAATACAACATTCTAAAATCATTCCATTAAAATTAATTCAACTCAGATTGATGGCAACCATTAGGCTAAAGTTTTGTGAAGATTGCCAAAGGAGGGAGTCAGGCTGTGCCCTGACCAAAGGCCTGGTGGAACAGCTCTGTCTTGCAGGCCCTGCGGAAAGATGTCAAGTCCTGCGGAAAGATGTCAAGCAAAGTTCTTAACCCGAGGTAATATTTCTGGGTTAGTGGATTCTGTAAGCTGAAACGTATGTAACCTGAAGCGTATGTAACCTGAGGTACCACTGTATATATTTAAGGTGAACAGAATATTCCTAGATACTGTCTTTGAAATGACATTTTGGAGCCTTAGCCCACCAAGGCAAAAATGATTTTGGAGCACACTACGACTGATTAAGACAAGTCCTTTTCCCCAAACCAGGTCTATCAATTCTCCGAACTGAAAATGAAACCCTGATTAATTTTAAAGGAACAGAAACATCCCTTTCCCAATAATACAATAGGACCGGTTATGTTTTAGTTCACACTGTTTCTGAATTTGAAAATAAATTACCTCAAGTTCTACAGGACACTAGATCTGAAGGTCCTTCCTCCTTGAATCAAAGTGTCCCCTTTCTAACCAAATTTTGGGTGAAACCTTCAAGGCTGCTTCAAGCTCAAGCAAGGAAGTGCTACAACAACAGCATAGCCTACTCCCACGGTGAGAGCACCCGCCAAGTCGCAAAAGGGGGGGGGATTTTCCAAATTGGCGTAGAAAGGGGAGGTTTCTGTCTCCTGAAGACATCAGAATGTCACTTCTTGAGAAAATGCATGCCTCAGCTGCTGGAGCGGGGATGCTGAGGATTCAAGACATCCTCCTCTGAATTATTTGACACAGTAGGTTCTCTGGGCTCTGCTGGTCTTGTCTCACTAGTATTTTCCTCTGTGGAAGAGAGTTCAGCTGGAGCCTCTTCAGGCACTCGTGATATCCGGCGATGAACAACTGTTGGAATACACAATATAATACAGCAGATAAAAGTAGTGTTATAGATTAGCATGCCCACCATCACTCAGGTGATGCAACTATTGGGTTGCGGCGCTCATCTCGCTTTCAGGCCGAGGGAGCCAGCGTTCATCCACAAACAGCTTTCCGGGTCATGTGGCCAGCAGGACGAAACAGCTTCTGGCTCAACAGGACACCGTGATGGAAACCAGAGCGCACACAAAACCATTTACCTTCCCACCACAAAGGTACCAGTTTATCTACTTGCATTGGTGTGCTTTTGAAGTGCTAGGTTGGCAGGAGCTGGGACAGAGCAACAGGAGCTCACCCCGTTGCGGGGATTCGAACTGCCAACCTTCTGATCGGCAAGTCCAAGGGGTTCAGTGGTTTAGATCACCTCTCCAACAAGGAGGACTACGTACACAGCTCCAGATCCTGAAGACACCCTTTATGAATATGGAACATGATTCAGTAGGAAGATTCGCACACAGAACCCACAGTCCATATGCAGATGGCCTTGAAGAGCATCCTTTTCTTAAACAGTACCTTGCATAGCAGAACTGTCAAGTGTACTTTGCCCTTTTTAACGTCTGGATTCCTATTCAAAAATTTCTTATGGTGACTCTTCTTTTGATTTAAATTTGATGGTCAATTCAGTTCCCCATATGATTTATCATTTGCTTAAAAGCACTTCTAAACCACTTAATCTTTCAAAAGTCTCTAAGCAGTGTTCAATAATGTCTGTGTGGCATCATCGTTATTATTTATCCAATTTTATACCCACCCTTCTCCAAAGCATTCAAAGGCAGGTCACAGCCAGTGGAAACGACAATATTAATAGCAGTTCAAAACAAATACCAATTCTCCAAATTCCCTTCCTTCACTAACATACTTTGTGTTATGTACTAAAGTTCTCACCCTGGGCCAGCAGGGGGATACTGTAGATAGTTATGCAAATAAGGGATCAAAAGTGACATTCAGTGATTGGATAGTTACAGAAAGTGGTTACTGTTGCGTTGTACTGGAGCTCTATATAAACAGGCTGCCTGAGCCCTTCAGTTCAGTTCTGTCCTGGCCTCTGAATAAACAAGAGCTGTTTGAAGAATCGCTGTGTCGTCTGATATGTTCACCCACAACTTAACACTTTGCCTCCTTTGCCCATTAGAGTAATGAAAGCTTATACTAATGGCAAAATCTAGCAAATGCTAAGCACAATCTACTGAAAGCTATGGAATGGGAATTAAGTTGTGACTCCTGTTAAAATAAATGACTAAAGTGCACGTAACATGAAGGATTGTGGTTTAAGTGGTCTGCAAAAATGAGGTATACACTTTCATTGTCTCCCAGATATAATACTGTGGTCAAAACACCTATCGGAACACGGTTACATATTTCAGATCGCTCACTTGCTGCCTAAACACTTTAACTCCAGTCTTATTAATTCTTGCTTATAGCTTTGCACACTCCCTTCTCACCTCTTTCGGGGACTGATGCTTCTTCACCGCTTATTGCAAAATAATTTTCCTTTCTGGACTAATCTGGGATTTGCCATCCCCATCCCTATTGTAAAGGTAAAAGTAAAGGGACCCCTGACCGTTTGGTCCAGTCGTGGACAACTCTGGGGTTGAGGCGCTCATCTCGCTTTACTGGCCAAGGGAGCCAGAATACATCCCTATTGTAAACGTAAAGGTACCCCTGACCATTAGGTCCAGGCGTGACCAACTCTGGGGTTGTGCGCTCATCTCACTCTATAGGCCGAGGGAGCCGGCGTTTGTCCGCAGACAGCTTCCGGGTCATGTGGCCAGCATGACAAAGCCGCTTCTGGTGAACCAGAGCAACACATGGAAACACCGTTTACCTTCCTACTGGAGCGGTACCTATTTATCTACTTCACAACGGGAGCTCACCCCGTCGCAGGGATTTGAACCTCCGACCTTCTGATCAGCAAGTCCTAGGCTCTGTGGTTTAACCCACAGCGCCACCCGCATCCCATCCCTATTGTAGAAGTCATTAAACTCTGCACAGCAAGGTAAACGTTAAATTGCAGGTAAGGTTCCCAGTTCTTATGCTGAGCGTGCGTGTGGACTCGATGTCAATTTATGCTCTCTGCATGACATTTCAATACCATCCTTGAGTAAACCGCATTGATCTGAATCGTAGATAACCTTAAGATTACACTATAAAATAATCAACTCAATCACAGTTCCATCAGGTGAGAAACATGAATGTTGTAAAGAAAATTGTCTCTTCCTGCTATCTTGTCTTGTTAATATTCTACCAACAATCCTTTTTTAAAAAAATCTAGATGAATGCTTTAGTTGAATACTGACTAGAAACAGGTTTAAACCAGCTTTATTTGGCTTTCTCACGCTTGGAGAGCAACTGAACCACAAGTAAAAAATAAAGGTTAAATACTGGTTGCAAATAAGACTGCACAAAATCTTTACACCCACCCATACTGCCAACACCCGCCTCCCTTTCCAGGATTTCGGTGAGGGAACAGGAAGTGCTGTATAACGTAACTCCCCCAAATTGTATCAGTGAAAGAAGAAGAAATAACTGTGGAAGTCCTTCTCTCTCACCCCATCCCAATAGATGAAAGAGGGTTGATTTCTTTTATTCTTATAATAATTTTCTTTTATTCTTATATAAGAATAAGAATAAAAGAAAATTATTATAAATTAGTTTGGAGGTGGTATATAACGCCAGTCAGATTAAATCAAATAAACAAGGAATATTTGGTGTTATGTTGGCAGGGGATGCCAGGAAACCGGGAATTATGTTCACATGTGGTTGAAGATGCACAATTTTTCTGGCAAAGGGTGTTTAAGGAGATAACAGAAATCACTGGGTTAAAGCTGACCTAAAGTCCAGGGGTAGCTTTATCATCAATTTACGATGGGGTGGAAGGTTCGTAGGCTAGGAAGGACTTGCTCACAAATTTATTGACAGCTGCACAAATTATGATAGCTAGGGAGTGAAAGGGGCAAGCAGAATATAACATGGAAGAATGGTATAAAGAGGTGTGGGATATGGCTATTAAGGATAAATTAACATGTGCCATTAAAGTAATATGGGGAATATGCAGGAGAAATGATATTGAGGAGATATGGAGGGCGTTTGTAGAATTTGTACTGTTAAAATGGAAAGGGCTCAAACCATCGTGAGAGGTGTTGAAATTTTGGGAGATTGGATCGTTATAATGCAATAGTCTCATTGGTGGGGTGCACATTTTTATTCTTATTTATGTATGATTGTTACTTTGTCAAAATAGAAGACAAAGAAGAAGAAGAAGAAGAAGAAGAAGAAGAAGAAGAAGAAGAAGAAGAAGAAGAAGAAGAAGAAGAAAGGAAAAAAGAAAGTTGGTTGAGTACCTCACAATGTGGAAATGCAACAGAACTATCCACTCTCGGAGGCCATTGCTCACTAATCAGCCATGTGGGCAAGTCTTTCCATCAGGAGACACTTTTAGGTCCATGACTCTTGCAGAGACACCATTGGGCAGTCTCTTTTGAAGGGAGAAGTGGTTCTGCACTTTTGAGGTGTAAGGTCAGTTCTTATTCTTACACAGTATATAATCATGGGAAACAAAATGAAACAACAAGCCCTGTGCCTCAGCTTAGAAAACACAGATGTAGAACCTCAGCATTGCTCATATTCCTTTTATTACTCCATGAGAAGTTCCACAATTACTTGTCTGGAATTTATATAAGCAATATATTGAAAAAGGGAGGTTTCTAGTTACTGGAAGGGACACGGGTGGCGCTGTGGGTTAAACCACAGAGCCTAGGACTTGCCGATCAGAAGGTCAGTGGTTTGAATCCCTGCGACAGGGTGAGCTCCTGTTGCTCAGTCCCAGCTCTTGCCAACCTAGCAGTTCAAAGGCACGTCAAAGTCCAAGTAGATAAATAGGTACCGCTCTGGCGGGAAGGTAAACGGCGTTTCCGTGCGCTGCTCTGGTTCGCCAGAAGCGGCTTAGTCATGCTGACCACATGACCTGGAAGCTGTACGCCAGCTCCCTTGGCCAGTAAAGCGAGATGAGCGCCGCAACCCCAGAGTCGGTCACGACTGGACCTAATGGTCAGGGGTCCCTTTACCTTTACCTAGTTACTGGTGGTGTCGGGCTAGGCTATACAGTCATACCTCGGGTTGAAGTAGCTTCGGGATGAGAATTTTCTGGTTGCGCGCTGCAGCGACCCGGAAGTAATGAAGTGCGTTACTTCTGGGTTTCATCACTCATGCATGCACAGATGGTCAAAATGACGTCACGCACATGCGCAGAAGCAGCGAATCGCGACCTGTGCACGCACAGACGCGGGTTGTGTTCGCTTCTGGATGCGAACGGGGCTCCGGAACAGATCCCATTCGTATCCAGAGGTACCACTGTACGTGGTCCCTTTTTAAAGAGTTGCTGGTCACAAGGTGTGAACCAAATGAAATAAATAAAATAAATAATGTGGATCAAAATGAAATAAAAAAATAAAACATGAATAAAATCAGAACTGTGCAAGGCTACATTTTCATTCCATGTTTTTATTATTTAGGCTGGCATCCGATCTCAATTCTTTCCCCTCTGTAGTGAAAAAGTAAACTAGGCTTTTCGACCTGTTTGCCTTCCGTAGTCTTTAAAAATCTAGTTTGATTCCTTTTTCTATCGAGGAAAACAAATGGGACAGAGCAACAGCTTATGTAATCAAACACATGGAATATTCTATTTAAAAAAGCCTTGTACACCTGTGATTTTGTTATTATTCTTTTGTTCTTCAGCTCTATGGCTGCGGCTGGATACTTACCCAACAGAGCCCGGAAACACTGTATGACAAATGCAGCCAATGCAGAGACAAACAAGGAGCCCAGGAAGTAAATCTGCAAGGAATTCAGAAGCTTGTATTAGTTAGAGCACAAAATGCCAGGCATTTGCTCAAAGAACAGTGGAGTTGTACGCACCAGACTGGAATGCAAAGTCGTCTTCCAGAAAACACGCAGGTGGAAATAAAGCAAAGCTAAAGTGCATGGACTGATTGATTCTTGGTTGCTATAGCTCCAACACCTACAGACAACAATAAGAAAGACATCAAAGTCAAATAAAAAATATGCCTAGGACCCTCGTACCTACGGGACCGCCTCTCCTGGTACGTCCCACAGAGGAACTTACGGTCTTCAAACAAAAACATCCTGAAAGTCCCAGGCCACAGAGAGGTTAGGCTGGCCTCAGCTAGAGCCAGGGCTTTTTCGGCTGTGGCTCCAATCTGGTGGAACACTCTGTCACAAGAGACTAGGGCCCTGCAGGGACTTGACATCTTTCCGCAGGGCCTGCAAGACAGAGGTGTTCCACCAGGCCTTTGGCCAGGGCACAGCCTGACTCCCTCCTTTGGCAATCTTCACAGAACTCTAGCCCAATGGTTGCCATCAATTTGATTTGAATTAATTTTATAATGAAATGATTTTAGAATGTTGTATTATTTTATTGTTGTTAGCTGCCCTGAGCCCAGCTTCGGCTGGGGAGGGCAGGATATAAATAAATTTTATTATTATTATTATTATTATTATTATTATTATTATTATTATTATGGCTCTCAGCAGCCTGTCGCAAGAGCAGACAAGGACTATGCAGATGAAGGAGTAAAGCCAGGCAGATAGAAGGCTTGAGTCTTAACTGGGCCATCAGTGATAGGGCACAGACTTTCCTTCCACATCAAAGAGCCCATCATATGGTCTTCCACCACCACCTTATGACATGTTCTCATTTATTAGTTGAGTTACTGTGATTAAAATTACGACCAGCTGTTCAGGTAGCTTGAGGAAATGGCTGCAGCTCTGATGAGAGTTGAGGAACAGTCAAAAGGCAGCCGGTTTCTCAGCAGAGCTGAGAGTTCTCAACCATCTAGAACTTAAAGATTGCAGTCCTAAAGCTACTTCTGTTGATGTCAAATTCAGCTTCTTGGCACACAAATTTGAGCAAGCATGCTTCCTAGGCTTGTGGGGAAGTTTTGGATCTTGCGTTGTTTTGGAGAGAGGTCTTCTCAGTCAGTGGTGGCTTCAGAGCCTCCTTCAGGCATTCTCTCTTGGGTAATTACAGTCATGAGGTGGAAGAGAGTGGGACCATGTCCACAGGCCCCAGAAACTCTGAAAAGCGAAGCCTTTTTCTGTGCATGTAGGTTCTCCTCGTGATTTAGAACATGGCGGAATCCATACTCTGAGTCAAAGGCCAGCAGGAGGAAGGAGATGAGGCCTTCTCAATGGGGAGGACTCCCTGGTCCTGAATGGGGTAACTGTGCCCCTGAAGGACCAGGTGCGCAATCTGGGAGTCATTTTGGACTCACAGCTGTCCATGGAGGTGTAGGTCAATTCTGTGTCCAGGGCAGCTGTCTACCAGCTCCATCTGGTACGCAGGCTGAGACCCTACCTGCCCACAGACTGTCTTGCCAGAGTGGTGCACGCTCTAGCTATTCTCCCGCTTGGTCTACTGCAATGCACTCTCCGTGGGGCTACCTTTGAAGGTGACCCAGAAACAACAACTAATCCAGAATGCGGCAGCTAGACTGGTGACTGGGAGCGGCCGCCAGTCCTGAAAGACCTACATTGGCTCCCAGTATGTTTCCGAGCACAATTCAAAGTGTTGGTGCTGACCTTTAAAGCCCTATCGTTGTCCAGCTGAGGTCCAGCTCCGAGGGCCTTCTGGCGGTTCCCTCACTGTGAGAAGCGAGGTTACAGGGAACCAGGCAGAGAGCCTTCTCAGTAGTGGCACCCGCCCTGTGGAATGCCCTCTCAGCAGATGTCAAAGAAATAAGCAACTATCTTGACTTTTAGAAGAACATCTGATAGGCAACCTGTTTAGGGAAGTTTTTAATGTGTGAAGTTTTGTCGTGTTTTAATATTCTGTTGGGAGCCCCCCAGATGGGCGGGATTTAAATAATAATAATAATATGGTTGTTGTTGTTATGTGTAGATGTCAAGGAGGAAGGGCCAGCAGACACAGGAGAACACTTGAAGAGGCTAGCATTCTTTTGGAAGAGTACTGTGGGCCCAACAAGCCACCCTGTTTTGCTGTTCTTGGTGGCTTGTGATAACTTTTCCATTCCCCAAGACCAGGAATTCTTCAAGCTTCTACCTTCAGGAAAATATTTCCCCCAGGATTTGCTTGCCAGAGGAACTTTATGGAGCTCAGGGAACACTATCAGTTCACAATGAACATGGGCCCATTCTGAGGGTGCTTAGAGCTTCTCCTGCAACTTGCACGCTGCGTGGAGAAAATAGTGGCAAGGCAGAGAGTTGTCTTCCAGGAAAGGATTTGCCGTTACTGATCTTCTCTTTGAGGAACTCTTGGTATGCTTCTGACAGACCCCAGGGTCCCCTAGAATACATTTCGAAGACCATCATCTTAGGCATTTAACGTTGTGGCCGATTTTATGGCACCTTGCTATTATTTCTGTTGCTTCACATTTTACACCGTGCTAAATAAAAACCTGCTCTTAATGTGTTAAGGACAGCAATGATGGACAAGAACAGTCTCACCTTTCATAAAGCTCCTGGAGCACGTTTGCATTACTGGAGTTGATGGTCCTGTCAATTCCTAAATGGTCTAAAATGTGATGAGGGATGGAATAACCTTCTTCCAGGAGAACAGCTAAATTAAAGAACCCCTGCAACGTGCAAAACAAAGGTATTTCCAGTCAAACAATTAGTACTCCATGGCTCTGTGGCAAAAGGTGTTGGGCATTTTTGCTTTTAAAGGGGACAAGGAGCCAGAGAAGCTGGTGAATAATTCACCAAGACAGATAATTCAGCCCAGGAGCAAGAAGCTCCCTTGTCAATTCATAAATTACAACCTGCAAGAAAGCTCAACAGCTTTAGCCTCCCCCACCCCCCAAATTGGGGGCACTGGACATTTTTTTGCACCCCGGCGCTGCATAGCGTGTTCTCCCTCATGGAGAGCACAGGTTGCGGGCGGGGCTGACGAGACACCTCACTGTTACTAGGCAAATGGTTGGCCATCCTTTAAGCAGGGGCGGGCTGTTATGGGGAAATCTAGATGTTGCCATTTGCTTGATTGACAGCCCTATTTGTTAAATACAATGCTCGCAGCGAGGAACTTCCTCTTTCGCTGCTTACTTCGGATCACCCGCCCTCCCTTCCCTAATGTTAGGCTGTTTGCTTGACCTTGCTATGCCTGTCATGGGGTCGTCTGCTTTGGGGCAGGGGCCTGGTAGGAATTTTGTCCATTTGGCTGATTAGTGTGTGCCACTTGGTTTTTGCCTACTGCGTAGCAAATCGTCACAACTTGTAAGATTTGCGGTTAGGCATTGGTCTGGGAATTGGTTGGTGGAGGGGCATGGATTTGGCTGTGCCTGCCCCTCCAAAATGCTGCTGCTGCAGCTTCAAGGGTTTTCCGTTAAAGGAATCCAGGGGCTCCCCATGCTTTTGTCCGAAACCCCCTGGCAAGGGGCTAGGGCCACGCAAGCCCCTGGGAGCATTCTGGGGAGAGGTGAGGCATGGTTCCCAGTCCCGTCTCTCTCCCCAGGTGACTTACCCTTTCTGACTTCGCGGGGGTGCGAATGTCAGAGCTGTCCCCGGGCGGGGTCAGTTAGTGCTACCAATGCCTAAGCAACCACTCGCATTGCTGTAATTTGAATAAAGTTGTGGCCAAAATTATGCCAAAAACCTTAAACAAAAATTAAGTGTCAATTGTGTTTTTCTTTGGGGGTGTCTTGGGGACCTCGACGCGCAAATGCTAAAGATGGCCCTGAACATGACAGGGGTTTGTGGGACACTGCAGATCTCAAGAGTCTTCAGAAAAGGCCTCAGGTTTTCTGATGATCAGCCCTTTCATTCCCCAACCAGCAAGAACC